CATTTTCCATAACAGAGGGGCCGAGCAACAGAAGTGTGTTCTTAAAGGCTGCGCTGAGTGTCAAACTATCCACGCCAACACGCAGCCTGCCCTGCTTGCCAAAGGAAAACACTTGTAAATACAAGTACTTCACTTAAAATATTTCACAATATTACTTCCCACTGAAAGGAAACTCCAATGAAATTTACAGAAGAGCTTCAGAAGTTTTTTCAGAATGGGTATTTCTGCCAACTAGGCTGTTGACATCACTGAAGGGAAATAAATAATGCTTAGACATCCATTTCAAATTGGCAATAAGAAAAAACAAAACTACTCTTGCTGTGAAAGCCTGTGTGCAAGACCGGGTATGCTTTATACTAACAATGTAAAGTAAATGTCAAGAAAATTTAAAACACCCATGCCTGTTTTTTTCTAGATGTATAAAAAAACCCCATGTCACTTAAAACTACTTTTATGCTGTGATTTCTTGGTAGCTTTGTCGAAGAAGGAAACACAAAGAAACTACCTAGGTCCTTTTTCACCTTTAAATCATAATATATGGGAATATATGGAAATGAGCGTAAGGTACTCGTTCAAGTAAGGCAGGTACTCGGGATCAGCATGTTTGGCAAATCACTGCTCAAATCAAGCTCTGTTGAGGGGAATCCAGATCAGGATAGGCAGCATCAGCTCAGAAACTGCTGAGTCTGAACAGAGGCAGTAGAAGGTCTCCCACCCATTTTCAAGAACTGTTTCCAAAGCCTTCAGGCCTGTAGCTCATTTTTGCGAGGAACTGATGAAATCTTTCTGAGAATCACAATATGTTGTCTTGCTTTGCCTCAATTCCATGCTGACCTAGACTTTTCTAAACACAACAGGAGTCAAGTGAGCCAGCCTTTGGAAATACCCAAGTGTTGGATAGTTAAGGACATTTAATTTGCTCTGAGGCTGGGCACTGGTCTCCTGAAGAGCAATAGAGCCCAGTTAAAGCTGAGGGAAGGGCCTCCATGGTCCCTGTCAAAGAGTGCAGTAAATTTGACCACTATAGGCGATGTCTTTGTGGTCTTACAGTCTGTCTACTGCTGTAGATGAGCCCTTTTTAACAAGGCTCTCAGTCTTACTTCATTATTTACAAGGCTATGCAATTTAAAAAATCCTTTGCTTTTTTACTTATTCATTACAAGCTGGTACATTTTTATTCCCCATCCTCCCAGTAGGTGATATTCACATACAAAATAAAAAGATATTTCTTGAGATTTTTTAAATGACTCCACTCATTTGAGGACTTACTGAAAACTTTTACTGTATGGCCAACAGCCTGTACATTCAGTTAATCTTGCAAGCAACATGTTTGTTCAGACTGGTGCCTGTATGCAAGACCTGCATGAACAGCTCAATAAATTACCATAGTTTGTTGAAAGCAAAAGAAACAAATCCCTCAGCATTTCCTTTACTGTTGATCCTCAGAAGAGAAGTAATAATATTGCACAATCCACATACTGTACTAGACATTACAAGGCCCCTGCAACTCCAAACATAACTACAGCACATGCGTGACTGGGAAGAAGGAGGGGAGAGGGGGAAAGAGAGGTATAAGGAACATCATTGTATCATTTATCAATGTTCTTTGAGAACATTTCACAAAGAAAAAACACTTAGGTGCCTCTTGAGGGAATACACAGCCAATTTACCAAGTTTAAACCATAAAAGGTAAAATGTCCTTCTAAAGACTCTCCAGATCTCTTATCAAAAGGAACACCACATTCTTCCCCAAAATTTCAAAAGTGTGAAAACCAGGGTTTTTTTCATATTTGCAAAAGCCCCCCACAAACAAGTAAATCAAAATACCTACATTTAGCAGAGCTTTCAGACATCAACAGCACAGGGCAAGCCCCTCGTATCCTCTTGGTGGATGCACTCAGGTGTGATTGATCCAACTCTGCTCCTTAAGGACTCTTCCTTTCTTCAGACTGAAAAGCTGTACAGGCTTAGGGACCCTGTTGATCACTGTTGACATACTTCAAAACATTCATATTTTGTTAGAATATTTTCCAACCACAGCCACCAATTTTTGCTGTAGCTTTATTTAAAATAAATAATTGCTTGTGAACCATGGGAAATTCACCTGCTCAGGAGGGTACAGCATTCAGAAGGACTTCCCCTCCACTGAGTTGCAGCAAAAAGTTGGAAGCACATGAAAGCAAAGGTTTGTAATAGAAGGAAACCCTGCAAACTTCAATATCCCATACATGGCAGAGTGTTGTTAAACAAACAGCAAAGAAGGTGACAGGAGAACCAAGGCCATCAAATAAATGACTGGCAGGAATTACAGTCCAATCCCAAAGTCTTGCAGTTTCTTTTTCCAGTCACTAAACCACATGCCTAGGTTTGGGTCTAGCAAAAGTTTTATAGCAACACCTCAAATGCACTTCTGCATTTTAGGATGGCCTGATCTAACACATGTTTCAGAATTTTCCAGAAGCAGTAGTCTAGAAGGCAAGTTGCTGCTTGTGAGGGCATGCCACCTGCTTGGGGAGATGAACTGCTCCTGATGCTGCGCAAACATGTACTGGCAGAGCTTTAGATGTTAATCCACAGCTATCAGGACCTGGCTTAAGAAATTAAGGAATCAATGCGGGAAGAGACTTTGTTTCAATTAAAGGTACACCTTGTTTGCATCAGTTCCTGGAAGAAGCCATGCTGTGCCCCTGGCAAACTCTGTGTGCACAGGGCAGCTCCCAAAGCTAAGAAGCTTAGCACTGGTGGAATTACCTGGGTGAAAGCATCTTCTTCCACTGAAGATAAGAACATGCATTTTAGCTGGTGGTCTGCTGTGCCCTGAAATTGAGGGACTGTTTTACCAAAGTTCATGATAACTATAATGAGTATCCCCAAGACCCAATTCACCAGATATCACGGACTTCACTCACCCACAGAAGCCCAGCCCAAGATACCTCTGCTCCCAGACTCTACACATTGCCCAGGAGTGCAGCCAGGTGCAAGAATGGCAGTGTTTGCAGCTAGCTCATGAAACTGAACCTCCTTCTAGGGCAGCGAGGAGAGATCCTTACCTAGCCATGCTGGGGAGCACTCCAAAAATCTCCCGTCCCACCCCACAGGGCAAGAACAGCCACACTGCCCAGTTGTGCTTACCTCCTTGGCAGCTCAGAGTTCCCCCCGTGCATGAACGATGGGGATTTTGTGTCAATGTCAAGGACAGACACGGGATAAAAATTAACTCTGATTTTTTAAATATGAGACTGCTATCAGTACCATACGAGAGAATGACAAATCTTTCCTTGCTGAGGTGGCAGAGCATAACTTTAATTATTTTTCAAATAAATACAATGCTTATATTTATATTTTGCTGATTTAGTAATTTGAGAAATGTTTACATAGCCATTAAAGTTTTTTTTTTTCAAGGTACATAAGAAAACTCTATAAAAATACCTCTTTCAATGAAACATTCAAACCCACATTATTAGATCTTTGAAATGCCATAGATCTTATTATATTTCGTAATGCAAAAACGTTAGCAGCACAGCTATTTCATTATTCTTTCCAACTGCATACATTCCTTTAAATGTTTAATTTTGATTTTTTTTTCCCCTTGGAAGATCTTAATTATATCTTTAAAGTCAATGGACTTGAATAAAGGCAATACAGAATGAAAATCAATTCTGTTTCATTACATTCACATATAAAGTGTTTATCACTGGAGAGTGATTTAGACTTTTATGTATGTTTATACTTAAAACAATAAAAATAAAACCACATATCAAGTCTGATATTTAAGTAGCTTCTAGACATCACCTTCCTTTCTTTCCAGCCCCCCTGTCCTCCCAGAAACACACTCTCAAAATACTATGGTGATTTCAAGTGCACTGATTTTTGGTTCCTCTATCTGCTACATCTTCTTGCCCCAGTTTTGTGAAGAGTTGCTAAATGCAGTTCCCACTGATTAGAAAGGAAGTTAATGCTCTGAGCTTCTAAAAAAGAGTCCAGGATAATACATGATAAACCAAGTACTCAGACAGCAGAAGCCACTACTGAGAACACTGGTTTTAAAGCCCCAATTTCTTCTCATGTAGATACCTGAGACATCCTCAAAATTTCCTGAGAGTTTTGCAAAAGACATGAGGGAGTAATTATACCCCTATTGATAGTGATTTTACATCACTAAATCTGCTCTTTGATGATGTCGTTCATTGCTTGTTTCAATGAAAGTAGCAATTATGTATCATATGGTCTGTCACCTATTTCCACACAGATTTATTAAACTCTTCTGACCATGAAGAAAAGAGCTGTGCCTGACAGACTTTGATTTACAGGACCAAACCTTTCTGGATTTTCCCCTGGGCTTTTGCTAGGGCACTGCTAAATATGTAATATTTATTTATATGCCTAATTATAAACTTGATATGCTAGAATCAGGATTAAGACCTCTCATTAAAATACCTATACCCAAAATTTTGGTAAATCCCAGTTAAATTCAGCATATTGGCTCTGTTGTAGCTGGGCTTAAATAAAATTTTGCCCAAATGGAAAAGCAACTGTTGTACACACATTCAGAAGCAGGCCTGAATTTCTCTTACATTTCTTGCCATCCTACTCTGTTATATTATCAGCTGGTCTCTGCCTGTAGTGATGAAAAGGGTATTTAGGTTAATGTGTTCTTTGTTAATTGCATTAGCCATGTGCCTAAGACTTAGGCTTCCTCTTCTCCCAGCACTGCCTTTGGCTATTAACATCTGGTCTTTAAATATATTTTAACTGTGTACTTAATCTGTCAGGTGAGATGGATAGACTCTGTTTTAGACAGACTAAGATGATCAGTGGAATGCTAGTAACAAAATTCACATGGGTGGAGAGACCCCTTCTTATTCAGAAACACAAGCCATTTTATATGCTAATTTTTATACTGAGTCTCCAAAAATAGAGGGGAGAATTACATTTGTGTTCTGTGTATCAGGTCTAATCGTTTGGAACTTTATTTTGTAAATAGAATCGTTTTCCCTTGAAAAAAAAAGTACAATATTGGCTTTTATCTTCCAAGGGTTTTTTTGCTTTTGTTTAAATCACATTTTATTATCATAATTTTTCCTCACATGGTAGCAAAGATAGAACAGAAGTGTCTTCAAACACACATGTATATACGTCCTGAAGAAGATTTATTAAATGGAAAATCGCTTCTGGCTTGGAAAGAGAAAATTTCTGTACCAGTAATATGGCAAAGTCCAGCAGAAGGAGCTGTATTACTTTAACTAGGAGCATCAAAATCAAAAGACCTTTGAGAGGTCTATATTCAGATGTAAAAAGAAATGCCTTCTCCCTGTTTATTTACTGAGTATCACTGGATTCTACACACTAGCCAAAATCCAGACAGCCAGCTGATAATGAATTATTGAATTCCAACACCAGCAGAGACTAGAAGTTTCCCTTAGCTAAGCTAAAGTTTCGAGTTTCACTTTTTTTTTCCCAAAGATATTCACTACCTTTTGAGCAGGAAATAAATATCCTGAAACTATTTGCTAGCTGTTCAGCTTTGAAAGATAGCTTGTGTTCTGAAAGCCTCAAGATTAGGGCTCTGTAAAATACTTGTCAGAGGACCCCGGTCCCTTCCCTTGGGCTGTGCCCATCACCGCTGGGTCCAGGTAGTTGTGGGGTAGCGTTCCAAGAGCGCATTCCTCAGCTGGGCTGTGTGGATCTTGTCTCTGGTCTCCACAGTGCAGATGACCTGGAAAAAGAATTAGGACCATTCCTGATGCATGGCAGCAATCTCAGACAAAGGCATTTACAACTCAATCCTAAAATACAGTCGTAAAAACAAAACAATGAGTTCAACATAAAACCTCTGGACCTCACATCCCCTGTCTATGCAGGTAAGAAAACTGACAGTGCAGACATCTGGGGCTCTTCCAGCCCTTCTGCATGGCCATAAAAACTTCCAACCTACTTTATTGCCTTCAGAGTTTAAAGATGACAGGCTGATCCTCTGCTGGCTCCTGGGCAAGATGCTTGTCTGCTCTTGGCCTCCCTGAACACATCTGTTAGTACCTTCTGTTTTCTGTTCCCTGGGGTATGTACGTGGCACTGCTGCCACCTCATCACCTCTGACTCTTATCTCACCACATTTCCATATTTCTAGGAAGTATTTGTTCCAGTGCCTCCATCCTTCAATCTTTTTATATTCTCCTCTTCCTCTTCTCTCTCAAGGAAGTATCCTCCAGTACTTTTTAATCTCTGCAGTGTTCTGGCCAATTTCATCTCCTCACGCACCTTCTTGCTTTATTCTGATTTTTGTTTGCTTATTGCATCAATTCTAGTTTTCTGTTATGGGTGTTCTGCTGCTAAATCAAACTATTCTCAGGCAAAACTAATCTTGATAGTTTATGTAATTCTTCACTTGCCTTCACAAATACTGCTGACAATCCAGTCCTGGAGCCACTAAAGATCATAACTTCAATGTAATTTTTTCAGTTCTTCTGTAATCTCTCTTTTCTACATACATCTTTGCCACACCACTTGAAAATCTGGGCACTACCAAAGATGTGGCACCAATGTGAAGGTGCAGAAAGAAAATTATACCTCACAATTTTAGACTGCTAACTTCCATCACAGTTGGTCCTGCTGGAATTATTGCTGATGTTGAAAGTGCCACGTGGAAAAAAAGACCTCACAGAAACATGAAAATCTATCAAGGAAAGGATCCAATATGAGTCATGGTGCAAGTACAGAGAGTTCATTATAACAGGCAAATCTCCTGAGAATAGAGAAACAACTGGCCACAGTAACCTGATGGTGAGCTGTTAGAGACAGATGTCCTGTATAATGTTGCTTTCAGAGTTGCATCCTTTTCAGAAAGCAACAAGGCAAAAAATAAAATTTTGTCTAATCAAATATGTTTCAGGGGCATTTCTAAATAAGAACTTTGTGAATTCATGTTTCCTGGAATGATCTTAAAATAACAATAAACCTTTAGCAAAACTGTTGAATGAAAAGATAGAACAGTAAAAGTCCAACTTGTTCTAAACAGCCATGAGCTCACTTAATTAGAAAACTGGCTACAGCTTCTTAAATATCTGTCTTGAAATAAGCCACATTTCTGATCTGATTCTTCCCCTCTTGTGCTGAACATAGTTCCATTCTTTCATTTCTTTGGAATTCAAATTAGATGCTAATTTCTTCCTCCTCCAAAAAGTAGGATTTAGACTCAAGAGAAGGACAATCACAAAGGACAATTAATAATGAGGGAAGATGAGAGAACACAAAGATCAGGAAAAATATCTAAAGGCACCAGTGTACCAATAGCCATTATCCACTCCCTGGCTCACACAAAATCCCCAAAGTTTTGCAATTATATCTTCAAGAGCACACACGTATCTCTTATGGAGTCTGTACTTAAAAAAAGCAACATTTTCCCCTTCACAGCAATCATGCCTGTATTGTCCTGAGTAAATCAATTGCTGCTCTTGGAACCGGTCTGGACTTGCCACGTTCAACCTTGAATGTCTGGCAGCAAGCAGTTGCTCTGCACTGGGTGCCAGCATGGGAAGGCATTTTGATTTATAGAACTAACTATCCTCTCTGCCCTTTCCTTTCTGCTAGTGATTGAAGCCGGCCAGCCTCGGCTGGATTGCAGTCAGAGACCTTGTAAACAGTTTGGGTAAATACTGTCTTTTTGTGCTGTGCATGCATTGCATCGATCATGTGATCCTGCACATAATACCTTGTAGTGTATCATAAAGTAGTAACAGCAAGATCAGCGATAACAAACAACTCCAGAAATTTACCCGATTTTTCATACTTGTCAAATAGAGGTATAGAGAACATTTGCTCACAGCAGGAGGGAAAAGAGAATCACACTACACCTCAGAGCAGCTACAGATCTCAACAGCAAGGAAGGCAAGAATTTATTTTCTTGTTCAGATTAAGCCAATTTACACTGCAGTTTTACTTTCACAGAACTGCTCTCACTTGCTTCACCTGGGACGTACGATTTACATGAGTGACCAACAGGGCAATCCTCATATTCATGGGGAGGTGTATGAGTTTATATTTATCTAGGATGAAGAATCACCCAGGTACTACAACCAGGGAGGTTGCCTGTCTGCTGATGAGCTAAGAGTAAGTGCTCCAAACTGCTCTTATTTAAGAACAAATGACAAAACCTATCGCCTAATGTTTCTTGTACTCCGGGTAAGATCATCCATTACAACTAGAAAAAATTTCCTTTAACATTTAGTTTAAAATTTACTTTTACTTCAAACTCAGAAGTCTTCAGAACTGTACATGGGATTTCTGATGCTGCAGATCTCTTATTGGCTGCAGGGCCACCTAGAGCCAACAGTAGACCTTTCTTTCCTGTGTATTAAAAAACCCCCACAAAACTAACAACAGAGTACATTTTATGCATTTCTCTCCCACATATTATGTCCTTGCTGGATTACATAAATAAATATAAAACTGTCTTGTCTGGTAAGACCACTAAAATAACCAACCAGATGGTTCTTGTACTGTATTTAGAGTTTCGCTCCCTGTGTCAGGTAATCTAAAGATTTATTCCAGCCTAAAGGTTTCGGTAACCTGGTGGGTTTTTTGTATCAGGCCTACAAGTAATTGAAGACAGAAGAGACTTCACTGAATATTGATGGCTTGTGGATATTATTTAATGACTGGGAATAACTGAGAGAGCAAGACAAAGCCAAAAAAAAAGATAAAGCAAAAAATTGATCCCAAGTTATTACCGTGCAACAACGAAGTCTAGATGTATAAATTCACATACTCATAGGAATTAAACTGATTTCAAAGAGAGGAAAGTTCGTAACTTCACAAGGGGAAGAAATTTGCAGAGTTCTGTGCTGAGTAGAGTGGGCACTTCTACTCCCTTTTAACTGCAAGTCTCATAATCGGTCACCTTGCCATTTAGATCATATTTTCCTAGATTTTAAAAATTAGTTTGGCATGCCTCTTAGCTCCCTGATGTCTCCTATCTGTAGGCTGTGTGTACAAATAAAGATTTTGGGTGGACATGCTGAGCCAATGTTAGAGAATAGAGGGAATGTGAATAGTATTGCTGAGTCAAGGGATTTCAGTTTTTGTTCTTTTCCAGGATCCATGTAAAAGTATATCCTTTATGTCTGTGACTCATCCTTTGAACTTTAATTTCTTCAAACCTAGACACCATATTCATCATATTTTTCTATTTTTGTTGTTGGAGAATTCACAGAACTTAATATTCATGATACACCACATTTAGCAATATCATAGGTTTGTTTCCATGAAAATCAGTGGAGTTAGGAATGAATACTTTATTTATATACGCTAGTTTCAGTTTTATATTTAAAGCAAGGGGTTTAATTTCTATTTTAAAAAATTAGCAACTGATCTATTAAAAAAAAAATTAGCAACTGGGCAATTTTCGGAATTACTCAGTAAACACCCAGTATAGCTTAGTGCACATTACAGATTATTTGGTAACAGCACTTCAGTTTATGGTTTGGGGATCAGCTGCCAGATAGTCCCCAAGGTCAGAGCGATGGAATGCTTGAGAAAGAGTGTAACAGCTGTCACTTGGTTGTGCAACCTGAGCCCTTATCTTTTGGCACGTTTGTGCAGTCGGGTTGGGGAGCAGGAGCATGAATGCGCTACTGACACATTACGTAAGTCAGATAATAGTCCAACAGGTCTGCTCTTACCCTCCCAGAGCAGGGTTCTAATTTCTACAACTGGGGCAGGATATTCTGTACCTTGTTAGTCTGCTCTGGAATGCCATTAAAGAACATGACTGAATTCTTTTGGAGGCCTTAGAGGGAATGCGTAGTTGAACTTCCCACTCCAAGTGTCTCCATTTTGTAATTGGGGAAGTGAAGCATGGGAACACAGCCTTGAACACAGCCTTGCCCAGGGTCATGCAGGAAATGCTTTAGGAATTATAGCATTCTTCTCATAGCTGTTCAGCTGCCTGCTCCTCTGTATTTGCTTCACAGGGCAAAAAACATGGAATATGTTGGCAACTGGGGACTCCAGCCCGAAATACTCCCCTCCAGCCTTTTACAAAATGTAAGTTGGCCCAAAGGAATTTACTCAAATTGACCAGAGCAGACTAAAATAACTTACTGAGTTCTGGCCTGAGGTGAATAAACTATTTGAAAAGAAAAGGTATTACACCACACTTAGCAAACCAGGAATTCCAGCACCACTGGGATAATGTGCAATGGTACCGAAAAGGCAACATTTGATTTATGAACTAGCATTTTCTTGCCCAGTCAGAGGGAGGAGTAATGTGATGGATTTTTCCAACTGGTCTCTTCTGAGTTATTTAAAACCACAGCAGAGTGAAGCTCCTGAGAGGTTTGAAGTGAACAGACCAGACAAGCCCATAACATCACATAGAAGGGAGGTCAGAGGGAGCGCTCCCACCAAAACAGCTCTGCAAAGCTCCTGGGGCACTTCAAGACCTTGCAGGTCCTCACTGCTCTGTTCCAGGATGCTCCTGTACCTGCCAGACTGATTATACTGCAGTTTCTGTGGTGAGAAGACTTTCCTAGGAAAACTGATGAACTCAAGGATATTTTATTTCAACTAGGTTGCCTGAATCCAAAAATAAGACACCCCTTAAGCAGGCAAGATGCTGATCTACAGCAGAGCCTTGCATGGCTTCATAGCAAAGACTGTCCTTAAGTTGCTTATTGATTTTGCTCACTGACTTCTCTCTGAGTCAATAATAACACGAAATTAAAGGGATTGAAATCGTTATAAAGAGGTTTACTGATGGAAGCAATTTGAGTGATAAATTGTCCCAGTTGAATCTGAGGAATATTCCTGATAGAGAATAGAGAAAGTTCACAGAGGCAAGTTGTGGCCTCCTCCCATGAACTGGATAATCCTTTAGACCTCTGCATCCAGTTAACTGGTGATACTAAGTGATTTTTTTCATTAGCTCTGATCTCACTGCACAAGGTACTTCATTAAAAATCAGCTTAATCTAATATAGCCATATTCCTCTTTTTTTTCTTAATTAAAAAATCTCTTATTTTTGCCAGTAAAATGTTTCAAAAGTTATTGTTCCAGAAGTGTAATTTGAACATAAAGGTTCATTTGGAAAGTCCTTACTACTTCATGGTCAGATTATCAGCAAGGATCTTCCCACAGAGTGTTCCAAGCATGCATTAGATGAATAAACAGTAACTGAGAAAGTCATTTCATTAGGATGAAAAAAAAAAATAAATAAAACAGCAGCTCTATCTTCCTGATAAGCAGTGACTAGAAGCCAAGTTTCTCTTCTTTGGAAATGAAGGGGTAAATCTAAAAGGATGATTAAATACCGAGATGACAATCTTGACAGGACTGATCTAGTGTATCAAATAAGCAACTACACTTAACTGCTCTGTTCTGTCAAACACTTTATCTATATCCACAGCCAAAAGTGTGCAGTAAAGTTAGAATGGAGTGGGTATAGCTGTAATGTCTTTCTTATTATTACCACCAGTGCAACACATGGTAATTTTGGTTCTTGATCCAGATTTTAATGCATGCCTAATTTTATGTGCTGAGATTTACACTGATGAAAATGCTAAAGTTCATTGCAAGTTTGCTTTAGTAGCAAATGCTTAAAATGCTTTGATGACACAGGGCTTTGGCTCTCAGAAACGACTAAGAAAAAAGCAAAACCTCCCTCATGTGTATTAGCTTTACTATGAAAATAAGTATTTTTTCTCTATCTGGTTAGAGCAAATTCATTTTGATGCTGAAAGATAAACCCTGTATTTTATCTTTTTTATTACATTTGCTTTAGTTTTCAAAGAAAAGCCTTCCAATTCACTAGGTGTCACCAGATAAAGCTGCCTCCAAAGGCACAGAGGTCTGCATGTCTGCGTCACTACTTTGTTCTTCACATCTAATTATCCAATAGCCTCTCCCAGACTGATTAAAAGCCATCATGCAAATCCAACATCCAATTAAAACATTCAGGAACTCAGATTCCTCCTTTTGACCCTTCTGTAGTACAACACTGTCAGATTCTTGAAGTGGACAGTCAGTGAAAACACATTGTATTTAAAGTGCAGAGAACAGCACATGGCACTGCTTTCATTCAGGGTCTGTATTTATTACATGTTCTGATACAACTGCCTCATTGGGAGAGATTGTAAGAGCAATGGAAAATTGTTTTAATATTCTCAGTTAAAAACTAACACAGTGGATTTCATTTATTTTACTTAGTAGCATTAATAAAAACTACAAGCCTCACTTAAAAAAATTTGCATTGAAAACTTCAAAAGAATTACAGGGTTTGCTGAAATTCACCGTGAGTGAAAACAATTTTCAGAGCTAAGTCAGTCACTTACTCAGAGAGATTTATCTATCCCTGCAGTGTCATGCTATCCCCAAGTTACCCAAAGCTGTAAGCTGGTCTATCATTATGACATACTGGGGAAAAATGAAGTTTTAGTCCTAGACACTTGAGAGAACTGATGATATCATATTCTGAAAAAAGTTCATGAACTTTATTGTCCCCTTGCTAAAGTGAACTTTAATCTCCCTCTTCTTTATATCTGCTAGTGAAAATATAGAGCAGGTTTCTGTATCCACGTAGGAAGTTAGATATAAGGGCCAAAACCAAAGAAGTAGCTTACTCAATAACATTACTGCATCCCAGCTATGAGTCTGTTTAGCAAAGATCCTTAATTTGACTTCCACCTGTGGTTTCACAAACTGAGTCAGGTTGGACTTGGACAGGGGTAGCATGAAATCAGTAGGACCACACCTTTGCCAAACCAGTTGAAGTAAGAGATACGCCATGAGACAAATGGTCTTTTTAAGAGATACCATAACACCTCTTCACTGTTACTGTATCCAATATTCAACAACGAAATACTGATTTTGCACTGTGCTTTTCGTGGATAAGGAATAAAACTATTAGGCCCTAGCTAAAAATGAGGGTTCCTTAAGAGTAAGGGTGTTCTTCACATTGCTTTAAGGCAAACATCTCAGACAATTACAGCAGCCTACATAGCTGGCTCTTCAGGTTCTGGACGGATGCTGCAGGTTGCTCACCACCCCTGGCACACTGCCACGCCAGCAAGGAGGGTTTGCAAGAGAAACAGCGCAATGCAGCAGCTGGACTATTTCACCCAGGGTGTCACAACAGCAGGTAAAACTGGTCCTGTGTTCTTTATATGCCTGCTAAGTGTTTGGCAATGTGCTGTAAAACACAGAAGAAATTCTCTCTCACACTGCTCGCCAAATCACTGTGCACTCTCTATCGGACTCCTTCAGCATAGGCATAGACACAGGAAAACAGAGTAAGTTAGGAGAGGCTAGCACTAATAAAGAAACTGAAATTGCAACTCATCTTACCTCAACAGTGAAGAGCTCAGATGTCACAAATGTGCGTTCTTGTTTGATATCCAAAACTCTAGATCAAATAAGGGACAAATTAGAGATCACAACAATCCCCTGTCACTACAAAATAACTTCTGTAAGTGTTTGGACGGTAACTACCTTTGCTTCTTTCTGAATTAGACACAATCTAATGCTACAAAGGTGCTTTCAGGTTGGAACAAAAATGAAGGAAATAAAACCTTTTCTGAAATATAACAAGAAGGAAACCTTTGATTAATTAGTGACTTACAGGCTTGCCTTCAGAGACATTTGAAAAGGTTTCCAAATCTTTAATGACCTCTGTGCTATTCTGTGATTGTATTTCCCTACTACTAGTCTGATTTACCTTGCTTCTTCCCGAGCCAAAATCTCCAGTAGCTTTGACATGTCTCCTGGGCAGTCGGAAATCACAAGGGAAAATCTGCACACTGTGTTGTCAAGGGTCAGGGCACGAGCTATGCACTTTTGCAGTAAATGTAATTCCAGGTTTCCACTGCATATAACAACTGCCACTCTGAAAACAGAGAGGAAAAATAGAAGTTTTGATTGGCAGTTGCCTGTAAAGGAACCATAAATCACAGACACTGTATTCAATATCAGCTTAAGGTCTCACCACAATAAATATGTATTATATGTCCAAGGGGCTCCTGGTGGTCAGCATCACTTGTGAGCAGGCAGGGGGAGCCTAGAAACTGGCTACATTAGTTGGTCTGAAATGTTTTCATTTTGCATTTTCTGGAGATCTGAGATTTGTTAGTGATAATTAGCTGGAGAATTCTAGGTATGTTTCAAGTTTTAAAAGTTTGATGTAATTTTTCCCTGGAAGTTCTAAGTTTCAGCCTCTTAATGACCAGAGAACATGAATGTCAAGGCTTTCTGTACCCATTAATTAAATCCACTTCAACTTGAAAAATGAGTGCAGAAGTGTTTGAAGAGCAAGTGAAGAGCCATATGGTCAGTCCATGATAATCTCTGTCTGCAGAGTCAAACCTGACCTCTTTAAAACTGAATCTTTGCATTTTCCCTTTTACTTTAGCTGTACTGAATTGGAATGCATTGCTGCTCTGTATGTACTCTGTCAGCCTCTTCTGAAGAATTGCCTCAGCAGTATTTTAGTGTACAACGCTGTGCACTGGGAATTTTATTTTGTCTTGAGGCCATGCATGTTTAAATACATTCTGGACTGTGGCCTGAGACAAGACTCAATCTACTTAAGTGCTGAGTCCTCAAGCTGAGAGGCAAGGCAGCATTTACCCACACGTTCAACACCAAGCACAAGGATAATCCCTCTGACTATGTGGACAGTTCTCAGGACTGGAAGGTAGATGCCACTGCGTGACTGCAGAAGATAGCCTAGCTCCTGTCCCACCACAGACAGGGCTGGTTTCCACAAGTGGAATGGGAGGAGGCAACAGGCTGACAAGAGCAGGTTACTGTCCTGGCAGGAGCAGCCATGCCTCGTGGAGCTGTGTGTAACTGCCTTTCCCCCAGCCATTTGAGAATAGAGGAAAATTATAAGATTTGTCAGGTCTCCAGGCTGACATTTGTCTTGTTCAATGTGGTCTTATGACCTGTGACTGGTCTGTTCAGCCTGAAGCATGCACCGCTGATAAGCCCAGTGCCAGCTCAGGGGCAGGAACTGCCTTGTCACTCATAGAACAAGTAGCTTTTCACCATTTCCTGGGACCAAGGTGCTCAGCTCCCTGCTTCTGCCATGGTTCCCTGTTTGCAATAGCTGCTGTACCTTTTACCCTTCAACTCAGGCAGCTTCCCTGCAATCAGTGCTGCAAGTCCAATGGCCCCTTCTGCATCAACAGTGGCTCGCTCATACTCCAGCAATCTCAGCATGGAAATGAGGATGTCCTCCTCCCTGAAAACAGGAGAGTTGTGTCAAAACAAATCAAAAGAGGTAGAAGATAACACATTTATGTGTAACTAGGTACTTTCTAGTCTCCCACATACATATGACCTCAAGGTGATGTTACAGAACACTGTGCTGCTGGGGGTGATGGTACATCTCAGAATCATTATTTACTGCAAGACGGGATGGGGTTTTTTTACTATAAATATTAACTAAACTCTAGTAGTAAGTATATTCCACAAACTTTGCCTTTCAGTGAAGATTTGGAAGAGTTTTGCCAAGGGCTGCCTTCAAGTGTTGTAGAACACAACAAGGATAACTTTTACACCCAGAGCATGACCAGGTACTGGCAGCAGGTGAAGCATTGGCCAAAGGGCTAGTCTGAACAATGCTTTTAGTCATATTATTTAGTTTTAGGTAGTCCTGTGAGGAGCAGGGAGTTGGATTTGATGATCTCTCGTAGGTATCTTCCAATATTAGATATTCTATGATTCTGTGATATATGTGGGTTTGGATTCAATGTCTTCAGTGCCCCTCTTGAAATGAAAGGTACCCCATCCCCATGTTCTCACAGTGTGTGCCTGGTGGCGTGTCCTGCCAACCTGCTCTCCCCACTGCACAAGCAGAACCACCATACCCTGGTGGTACACTGCATTTTTCATATACAACAGTGTTCATCCAGTGCTATTAATTTCACTGTTTTTATTCACCTACCTCACAGCGACAACTTTATCCACAAGTTTCCCAGTCAGCTGCAAAGAATTGCTGCCAAAGCAAACTCCGCTCACATCTGCAGATTTCAAAAGATAAAACTATGAAGCTGGCTGCTGTAGGTATATTCAACATTAATTTGAGTCCTGGTTGGTTGGTGTCCTTAATGAGTGCTGCACACAGCTGTTATATGACCTTAGGTTGCTTGATTTTTTTCATATGACAAAAATCTGTTTGGTAATGAAAGACCAAATCTTACAGGGAGATTTTGCCATTTTGGATCCCTCCAAGAAAATTCTGATACTTCACTGGCACTGTTGAACTGTGAGAGTGACCCTGCAGCGACCAATGCTTTTCACTGTTCAACGAGGCTTGAAGGAGAGAAGACCCAAGCATGGCACTGGGCTTGTTAGCTACAGCAGGACAGTTAGCTCAGGGGTGCAGACACAGGCAAAGGGGATCCCCAAGAGGGGTAAGAAGTTTTTTATAAAACTCCCATTTAACCCAAAACTTCCAGAGTTTTGGTAAAATTAGGTAAACAGGATGTTCTTAAATTGCTTAACAGTTGAGAATTTTTTTGAGCAAATGATGCGGAAAAAACTGTGTCATTTATAAACACTGTTGTTCTGAGAACAGTTTTGTGTGTCTAAATATTTAAGCACTACATTTTCTTGCCTTTTTACAAATCAGTCTTTTACACAAGATCTTTCTCATTGATTCCACTGTTTTAGATGGTGCTTGTGAGCACAATGGTCAGATAAATACTCTCATATTTCTAAGTATTTGTGTGCACTGGAAATTGCATTGTACTCCAGGGAGGTGGTGGGGAAAAGTGTGGCAGAAGCTGTTCTCACAGCTTGAACTAAATTCTAAGTCTTCAGAGATTTCCCTTAAAATATATTTGAACTGAAGGAGAAAATAATATAGTTGGAGAAATCTATTACAACCTTTATTTTACCTCCAAAAGAATAACACATCTTCTCACCTCCATAAAAGTGATGATTGTTGCAGGCCTGGTCTTCAGCTGGGTGGCCAGCCTTTAGGGACTGTTGCAATACAGGGAAACTTTCAGATTCAACCCCCTGAAGAAGATAAGTGTTGTCACTTTTTTATTGAACCAGTTATAGTAGAAGTCACCACCAAAGTTGACACCAAAACCTACAGAAAGTTTCCTCTTCAAATTAACAATTAATTTCAAGTTGCATAACAACTGTGCCACCACTAAACTTTTTCTGTGGTTTACTTAGCACCAAATTTTTCCAGTAAGAAATTATTTCAAAACAAAGAATTGGATTTCATTTGCTTTGGAAATACCTTCCCACATTTTTTTTTCTGGAATCAAACCAAGGGACAGGAGCTTCCCTGTCTCTCAGAGGCTCTTCTAGGCAAACCCCACAGGATCAGATAGTTCCTGTCCTCAGCATATGCAGTCTCTGCAAGTGTATCACTAGATACCAGTGCAGTGTAATCACTAAACACCAGTGTCTTTTGAAGGCAGTTGTGGTGAAAGCTGCCCAAATGCAACACTTAAAAGGTGAAAGGAAACTTACAATTACAGAAATACGTGGGTTGAGGTATTTGAGTGTAGCAGCCGACCCTGCCAGCAAGCCACAGTGGCCTCCTGCAGGGAAAATCACTGCATCCAGCTTTGGCACCTGCTCGTACACCTCCAGCCCCACGGTCCCCAGGCCTGACAGGTACACAGCACTATCCTCCCTGTGGGAAGGAAGGGCACAGATCAGCAGGGGTCACAGCTGTCAATGCAATAATAATTCTATCTACCAGTTTCAAGACATCATTCAGCAGAAGAACATGTATGTGAAAGTAAATCACCATCACATGAGGGGAGGAGGGGATACTGCAGAATAGTGCCATCAGATGGCCAGCACATGCAGTTACCTACTAGGAGAAAACTGCTGTTGACAAGCCCTTCAAATAGACTTCAGGTTAAAGAGCACTTAATTCTTAATTCCTAATTTTACCAGCATCAGGTGATTGCTACAGAGTTGTCTTTTCACAGTCCAGGGCCAATATTTGATACCTTCACATTACTCTGAAAGACTGTGGAAGGGTAAGAGAAGTATTTAGTCGTGCCAAAATACTCACTGGCAAAACACTGTAAGCCAAAGGTAATATAATGAGCAGAATAGGGACAAACAGAATCAAAAGATTGAAGAAAACTCCACTACACAGTCACATGGCTGACTTGGATCTGTTTCTAAAAGCTGTTTTGCATTTGATTTAGAAGTTAGCAATGATGTAAATGTAGAAGAATATACAAGAAAAAAAATGAGCTCTCTGTATGGTCTGCTTTTTAAAGCAAACAGATATGCAAACAGAATTATAGATCCAATGACTTGATTTTATTTGATCCAAGGATGTTTGGGTACTAGGAAGCTGTGTTTTTATTTCTGTTACACATGTGCACAGGCTTAGCTCAGGAGCACAGAATGCCCGCAAGGTAGACACCAAGGCCCTTGTCAAGTTACCTCACATATATATCAAAACACAGAAAATTCCTCAGGGCAAGAGACTACATAAGAAAGGATGGGAGTAATGAACTTTCACTCTTTTAGCACAGCTAAAGACAAAGGCAAGAAATAATAGGGGGATGGGTAACTGAACCCTTGAATTTACTGCCTCTATGAAGGTACTGAAGGAGTTCTCTCCTTGTATGCGACAGAATATATCCCTGGTCTCCTGAACAGTTCTGGAGTCTTATTCCCCAATAAGATTCAGAGCCGAGTTTGTGAAGCTACCTCTGCTGTGGTTACATGAGAAGCCACAGGGACCTGCAAAAATGAATGAGGATCTGGGATATTCAATTTATGAGTAAAACTTCTCTAACAAATGAATACTGTCTGGAGGAGACTGGTCTGGGCATGGAGCACGATTAGCAGTTTGAACCAGTGTTTCAGATAACCACGTGTTCCTTGCAAACATCCAGTGAAAACACCAGTTCACTAATCAGCCTTCAGGTTTTATAATAAAACGGGTGATTTTCTTTGCATTGTGGATGAGTACTTTTGCCCTGTGAAAGCAAACATATCTCTTTGAGTGTCATATGCCACTGAAGCAAAATGAAGGAAAAGGGCAGTTAAATCTAAAGGCTGTAAATTTAAACAAATATTTTTGATCCAGAGCTAGAAATTTTGATATTTGTCTTCTGAAACATGTGATACATCAGCAATCAAATACAGGCTGTCAGGATTCAGTTTCCCAGTGAAATTTTGGTGTGGCAGCAAGAAGGCAGTGTTTCCATCTGTTCCAAGTAAAGGGCTCAGAAGCCATAGGGTAGAGTAACAAATTAACCAGATCACAAATAATCAGGTCTGATCAGCATTTGAATATGGAGTTAAACAAGAAAAAAAGTGGGCTTTTAAGGACGGAAGGTGTGTCATTCAGTCTACAGCACTCTTACCTCTCTGATTCACAAAGCAATCTTTCTCACATCATCCCAGAGGTACTGAGTTACCTATTGGCAATAGTCACGTTGCATTTATAATGAGCTCCTGGACCCCTATATTTACTAACAATTTCATGCCACCTAGGCAGCAATTAGGCAGACTAAATGATTGAATTCCAATTTGAAAAATCACATTTCCTTCCTGGAATTTCCCAGGAAGTTGCAGTTGTATAAAAAGTGCCCTACCTCTAATTGAACCTGCATGTGATTTGCACAACACAGTGTTTTAATTGCATTCAAGAAATTGGAAGAACTGACAATGACACACCCAGCTAGAGGGCATTGCCCATGCAGGTACAGCCAAGGACAGTCACGTAATGTTTGTTTCAGGAAGGGAAGAATGAATTACTGGGGAAGGAGATCCAGAGATCAAATTGCTAGGGATTTTATGGAAGCTAGAATTAAACCGAAAAAAAATGACATTTCAGAGGTTCCATTCTAAAGGATGGGAGATCAGCTGTTGTTTTACAAACAGCTTTGGCAAGTGACAGTTTGTGTGTGTTGGGCACACACTGAAGAAAACTGGCGATCCATATAGGCATACATTTCTCTGGGACATCTCTCCCAGTCTACACCTAACAAGTTATGTTTCAGACATCCCCTTATGAAAAGGCTCGCAGTTGTGGTGGGGTTTTTTTTCTAATTTTTTTTAATCCAAAGTGTGAAAAATTGCATCTGAGAGGTTTTAGTCTTAACAGACTGAATAACCCTGTTTCTCGTAACCTGAAACCTTAAATAAATAAGTGTATTTTAATATTATTAATGGCAGCATGTACATTTAGAGTTTCTCAGTGCTAGATGCTGAAGTCCTTCACATGCATTGTCCTTGGAGCTTTGTGACACTGAAGAATATCTACTTCATGTAACAAGTGATTATTTGGAGAGGAGGGGAAGATTAAAGATGAAGTTGCAATACTACAGTTTAGTTCTTATGTTCAAACATGACAGATGGTGCTGGCCAGCTGGGAGTTAGCACATCGATTGAAAAATGGCTGCAAGAAATTTGGAAATCACAAAGTTACGGAAAGCTGTGGTTTTCAAAGGAGCCTAAAAGGGTTTAAAAATTCATTGGGCTCCAGGACACCTCATTAATGCATTTCTTTGAAAGTCCCAGTCTGGGACAAGGTTGTGCCCATGGTGACAGACAGGGCATCCGAACCAGCCCTGTTGTGTCACTGGCAGAGCTAACACTCAATATGGCCTTCTCAATACACCAGCTGGGAAAGAAGTGAGGACTTCCTCTCTTCTGCTCATTCTGGGATCCTCTTTCCAAGCAACATTATTCATTATTACTATGTTTAAGACAGCAGTGCCAAGGGGCTGAAGGGGAACAGGCGCTCACTGCAGCAGATGCTGTTCAAGCATGAGGGGGTGGATGAAGCCTGCACAGAGGTGGTGATGGTGGGAGGAGAATAACATTCCTGCTCAGTGCATCAGAGGGACTGCTGGCTACCTCATGTTAATGATTCAACCCTCTCTGCTTTTGGAAGTCTTACTTGAAGAAAGGTAAAAAAAGAAAACAAAAAGAGAAAACAGAAAAAGGAAAGGGAAAGGAAGAAGAGACTGCAGAGAAAAAAGGGAAAAACGTATCTGTTCTAAATATTTTTGCCTGTCTTATCTCATTCTAATCATGCTTTCATTAGATCTGACTTATGCACTGGCCTCAAATAGTTCCAACTTAGACTTATGCTCATCCGTAATTACTTTAAATATATGTGCAAAGTAGCCTCTTAATAACCTTTTTTAAAGGCAGGATCACAGTTTTGTCTCTCACACCAGATATGTGAAAATTTTACGGTATTAACTTTCTTATGCCAATGAACCTTTTGCATTAAAGATTAACTTTTACCCACATAACTCCAGAGAGATCAAAAATGTACACTAGCCTTAATGCTTTCTGACTGGGTTCCTAAAGAATTAACATATATCCATTATCATACCAGTCCATATAAATTCCTAGTAAGGAAGTTTGCCTATTCTGGGGGAAGAGAACAATGTTTCATTTTGGTTCCCATCCCCAACTGTTACAGAAAGACACATGATTTGCGCCTGGGAACAGTCCATATTCCTGGTAATAGGAACATTTTGATGACCTGTGACCACAATTTAACAAAACTAATTGTTTTTGCAGAGCTGTGCAAACATCTAATGTGTTCTTTCTAATCAGCCTGGCTTTCCACTTACTCTTCGAGGTAGAGGTAACCATTCTCCTGAGCCAACCTTCTGGCGTGTATCTGGGAGTCCTTAGCTGTGGTTCCATAGGATATAACCATGGCTCCATACTCACGGCACATTTTCACCCTGACGGGAGACGTGCTGGTTGACATGATGACAAAGACTGGAATACGGAGCTCTGAGGCGTGGTAGGCAACAGCCATGGAGAAGTTACTGTCCGAAGCCACAATCACCCCTTTTCTTTGCTGATCCTAAAAAACAGGGTTGTTTGTTGCACATTATATTGTCACATAGTTGTCCCCCATGGCCCTGGATCATTCTAATAACCTGACTTCCTTTTTTTCCCCCTCTACTTGCTGATCAAATCATGATATTATGGTACAGTATATGCACGTCTGGTGTAATTTCAGGATTTACACACAAAGCTAAAACAGCACAAGATCAACTCCCATTTCTGCATTCCTCTGGGTTTAATTCTTGTTCCACTGGGAATAGTTGATCACAGAACAGCTGATATCTGGTCCCTTTAGAACTGATAACTCTTCCCTGCCTCTATGAAATGATTTCATTTCATATTTCATTTTAGGTTTCCTTTTAATAGAAGTTTTAATTTATATTATTACAAAAGTGCAGGAATAGCCATTGCTTCTGGGCTGATGTATCATGCCAATTAGGACTACTGTTGCTGCAGAGACTCAATAACCTCCTATGAAAAATGATAAACAAGCTATTCCTGTAATGATACTGAAATTCATTACAAAATCAATTGGTGATTTAGATCCTTCACATCACTCATTGTAACTCAGTTTCATCATCAGTTACGAGTTTGGTGATTTCAACATGTCAGAACCACAATACACATAGAAACATTGGCACCTAAATGCCACAGGAAAATGCTGGTGTTTGCTTTTTGCAAGGTTTTCTTTCAAGTATTCTCAAGCATTTCACCAACAGATTTGTCAATCATAAATAAAGTAGCATTTTATATTCAGATACCTATAGGCCTGTCTATGTTCACATGCTGTGTTCTGCACAATGGTTTCTGGCAAGAAACACTGTGATTTCATGGAGATTACAGGTAAATTTATCTTCAGCTCTGCTCCATTTTTGTGAAGCAGAACTAATCTATTTCTTTTTGAACACTGGCATTTTGTTATACCTGAGGCAATGATGTCAGAAGGTAAAGTACACCTCGTTCCTTCACAGATCCTGTGTATTGGAGGAACTCCTTCTTCAGGTAGATGTCCATTCCATATTGCTTGGATAGCCTAGAATACTGGAGAATATAAATAATATTATGGGGATGTATCTAAAATTAAGAAAAATCTTTCACACCTCATCAGCTGCCTGGTGAGGCATGCATTCCACTGCTATATGTGAGCTCTAACAAGTGACATTTTTCATCTGTTTCTTTAGAAATACATGACAGTGTGTTGTTACCTACCAGGTTCTTCTGGCTTATGGAAGTCATTTTCAAACTCCCAGCAGTGAAATATGGATCACATGCCACTATGAATTCTGAAAAGAGTACTTGTTTTGGTCTTATTGTTCAAATACAGATATTAAAATAAGTATTTTCAGTTATTTAAAAACCAACACTTTCAGCACTCGCCAGAACTGGATACTGAATACCCAAAAAATAAAGTTGTCATCCAAAAGACAGAAAAGCCATCAGAAAATTCCTCCTTGAGCCCCATTATGGCTCTGCCATGTTTTCTGCCACTGATTCACTACTGCCTATTGCCTATTTTGCACTCTAAGGCCAGTACAACATTAGCAAAGACATTTCTTACCCAAAGAATGATGGAAATAATAAAAAAAATATTTTCCAGGATTGCAAGTGTAAGCAGCAGCTGTTTGAAAAAGCTTATAGCTTGGAACAGAAAGAATCCTTGAGCTGAGAGGAATTAGCAAGCACATTACACGTGATGCAGTGCCCAACTGCATGATTTTTTAATATTTTTTAAATGGTAAATACTTATTTTTATAATAAGATACTCCCAGCACGCATCAACATATTAATTTCCTATTATCATATTCACTAAAGCAAGAGTTTTAAACAGGATAACTTATGAAATAAAGCTTCAGTAAGCCTGTGGGTTCCAGCTCCCTAGTCTTACTGCATCGCTATTTCATAATTGGCTCCATTTCCTCCATTGGTTGTCAAAGCAAATGAAGACTTGGGGATTTAGGGGATCAAGTCCTCCTTTATAATAAGTCATAAGAAGAGAGAGATTAAAAGACACCATGACAAAATATTTATCTCAAAGAGTAACTGGCACTGTCACGCATACAGTGTAATATGTACCAATATATTTTTCAGACTGTGGGACTTTCAAAGTCAATTTATGTAAACTAAATATATCTGAGATAGATATTTGCTTTACAATATACAGTTAAAATAAATATTTCAGGTGAATGTTTCAAGGATTTTTAGTGGATTTACAAGCATGTGTTAAATTCTTCACCCATAGGTGGGGCCAGATTCTCTATTTTGCTTCTGAAAATCCTGGCAGGAGCTACCACTTGCTGCTCCTTTGCAGATCTGGCTGCAGAACTGAAACAATGGAAAGTGCTTAGTACACTAATAGGATAATAGTTTATATCCTAAACAGCCTAACCTACAGAGAATGCCTATGCAACATAGAACAAGAACACTATACAAGAAACACTACTAATGCTTCACATACTGTACTTGTTTTTGTACAGAATCTTGGATCCTAGAGTTAATGATAAGAAAAAGGATTTAAGGAGATGAATCCTGTGAATTTATAAAGTTGCTAAGTCTCCTACAATTCAAAATTTGTCATTAAGACATTCTGTACCACAGAGATGGTGTACTTCAGATTGTTATTTTTCTTTAACTTTGATAATTAGTATTTTAACTCTTTAGGTTATCCTTTTCTGCTTCCTTTAACTGAGCCTTTTTTTTTTCATATAGCCTAAATATAGCAATTGCTTCTAGCAAATCAGGTGTCAGTGCTATTTTCAGCTGTACTGACCTGAGGTGTGACCTTGTAAAACTTACTGAACCAGCCTGTAAGTTCTCCCTTTTGCCACTGTCATCTTATCTAAAGACTACAGATACCATGTCTAAGGTACAACACACAGCACAGCCTCCATTTGGCATCCACAAAGTTAACACAAAACAACCCTTAAAGTTCCTAAATCAGTAACCAAACCACGTGTCCAAATTAATATCAATTAATTCCTTGTTTTCCTATACTCACTACCTCTTTGATATGTTACAATTCACTCATGATGCCATATCTCATCTCCAGGCAAATTCCTGCAAGAGGAATCAGGATGCTGCATCCATGATCTTATCCGTAGATTAGGAATCAGCCTGCAAAGTGTTTCTCCACTCAGTTAACTAAATATGGGTTATAGTCATGCTCACTTTTTTAATCTAAACAAATGTCCCTGAAAGGGGCTCTTACTTCTCAATGGTGAGTTAAAATAAAGGTTAACTGTGTTTTTCTTGACACCTCTCTGAGCCTTTGAATCAATGCATGAAATGCACTAATGACTTCTGCAGGAACATTATTTTGAATAACAACAGTCATGGGCTATTTTCACCCTAAAACACAGGGGGATATAGGTTTTCCACTATTCTAATAATTTTAAAAAACAATGTTCATAAAAAGAGACTGAAGAAAGTGTGCCTATTTAGCTTGACACAGTAAACATAGAAAGGGGATACAACTCTGTTGCATAAATTTGCCAGGAAAACCCAAGAGGAAAGAACTATTTGAGGGGCATCAGCTTAAACCCAGATAGCAACTAAACACCATCCAGCTGCTTGCTCATTTCCCTCCCTCCATCCTGCTGGGGAGATGAGAATTGAAAGGGTTCAAGTGAGAAATCACTTGGGTTGAGATAAAAACAGTCATAATAGTAATAATAATAATAACAACAACAACAAACGCATTAACAACAACAACATCATTATAAGGAATAAGAGAGGTAAAAAGACCCAAGAAAGACAATTTACGCAATTGAAAGCAATCGCTCACCACCAACCAACAAATGACCAGCCAGGCCTCAAGCAGCAGGCCCCCCAGCCAATTTCCCTTGTAATTCTGTTGCTGAGCACAATGTCACATGGGATGGGGTGTCTCTTGAGTCAGTTGGAGTCAGCTGTTCCAACTGTGTCCCCTCCAAATCCTTGTGCATCCTCAGCCTTCTCACTGTTTGGGCGGGGTTAAGAAGCAAAAAAGGCCTTGACTCTGTGTAAGAGATGCTCAGCAGTAACAAAAACATCCCTGAATTATCAACAATATTTTCATCAAAAATCCAAAACACAGTCCCATACCAGCTACCATGAAGAAAATGAACTCTACTCAATCCAAAAACCAGCACAAGGGGCAAAGCTGTCAGAGAACAAACTGACCAAAGAGAGCTTAACTACTTGTGAGCAGGAGCACCATCAGTTTATGAAAAGTTTTGTGTTACACAGACACCTGATGGACTGGACTCTATGGCGCAGTCTTGCCTCCATTAGGTTGGTTAATTTTCATACCAATCATTTTCATGTCATACCTTGGGAGAAAGGAGATGGCTCAGGGATGGGGCCAAGACAAACTTTACTATTTTTGAGCTATTGATCTGATGCATCTGAGCTGAAGGTGTGAATGAGGCCGTTCAGCAGCTCATATGGCCAAGGCTGCTGCAGGCTCACACTGGCAGATGTACACAAGCAGTATCCTGTAACTGCCTGGCAGAAGTGCACAATGCCACAAGGTGCAGGGAACAGATGGCTTTCAAAGGGCAAAGTGTTAGCTAGTTCTGCTTTCCAAATTAAGCCATGACACTCTCCCTCTCCCTGCCCATAGACCTACTTTTGTATAGCATGATTAAACCTATCTAACAAATATGACCAGAGTTGCCAAATACAGAGAAGGGCAGTGCAATAAAAAATGCAAATCTTCTCTTCCTGGAAAGTCTCTCCATAAAAAGAGAAGACTGACATTTCTGTCTTGCTGTCAAGCATGACAGTGAGAGTTTTGGTGACAAAAGATGCAATGTGAAGCGTTTGGTACAGTCCCCCTATTTACGCAGGCACTGACCCCCCCAACCACCTCTGCTGCACATTTGCTCGCTCGCCTTGCTGCCTTCCTGAGCAAGCCAACTTTTCCACTCTGAAAGGAAATCCAGGCACAGCTGGCAGGACTGATTACTCTCATGTCACGCTAAACAGGCAGTATATGAAGGCAAAATGCATCCATATTTACTCCCTACATTCCAGCCAATCCTTTTGTGCCCCCTTACTGCCCCAAATCGTCTTGTATCATGACCTTTGTCACAAGACACATTTCTTCAGTAGTGTGCTACAAAAAGCACAGCTATCCTTACTTTGAGAATTCTGGGCTAAAAAAAACCACACTGAAAGTAGTTATGATATCTCTGGATCAGCAGGCACTGTCTGGGAACCAGGGCAACTGCTGCACCTTGAGGACCTAACCACTTCACTCCAGGGACAGCTAACTCCAAGCAGAGACTGAGATTGCAAGGTCCTTTCCCTGTGCATGCCAGAAAAACAATCCACAGCTGTTGAGGCTGGTGGGATGTCCTGGTCAGCAACAGAGAAGAATTAATTTGAGAGAGCAATTTAGGGCTGCTGCTAAGAGTTGCCATTTGGCCAAGACACTCTTTTCACACACCAAAGGGAACAGAGGAGATTAGCCAGAGAGTGCCCAGAGTAGACTTTCTGAAGGGCTCCCAACAGTAGAAATACACTATGAATTATATAGCTTCTCTTGTATATATATGTACTTCTCTTACACCTTAGCAAATGCTTTACATTGATGGGAGTGCCTCATTCATTTTCATTCCTAGACTGATCAGCAGGTGCACACACTTGTGTGTGTCCATCTTCATGTCCTTGTTTTGCTGAAGACACACATGGCAGAACCACCTGGTTACAGAACATATCCAGCCTTGCCAGGTTGGCCAGGCTGAGAAGGGAAATCTGTACCTTCAAACTCTCCAAAAATAAGGGCTAGTTCCAAAGCAGACCCTCCCACAAAACTGTTTACCCAAACACTGGTAGTCCACTGTCACCAACTCAGGTTCCCTGTAGCAGCAGTTTTTCACTGGGAGCATAATACTACAGTGCATTAAGTCTATGCCTAATGTGATTTATCCTTTGTTTACAGGTTGCTGATATCGTTGAGGATTTAGGTTAGTGTAAACAGGTAAGAAGAAAATTATTATTGACAATTAAATACAACTAGTATAAACATGAATCTTCTTTCACAGATCTATCTGCTGCAGCTCACACATGCTCTTCCTTCATTTCTGATCATTTTCCATCAGGAAAAGAAACACTGAGAAAATGCAAAGCCATAAAGACTCCCTACCATGCAGGGGGTTTTCTGAACACCGCACTGGATTTTGAAGGCTGCTGCGCTGATATCTTCAAATCGAATCAGCTTGTTACAGCTTGACATGATGGTTGTACTGCTTGACTGAGGGACGCAGGAACGAGTATCCGTAAGTAACTCCTCATTTCGGCTCACTATCTTCATTTCCCAGGTCTTCACATCCCCGTTCAGGTAATCCTCCTCACCAAAATCCTTCAGTCTCTCAGGGTTGATAGAGGGTGGCTTCTGTGCAATAAGGCCATTTCTCATCTGCCCGTCCTTACAGCGGTGAAGATCACAAAGGGCTGGGACATCTTGTTTCTTTATTTTATTGTCATCCCTAAAAAAAAAAAATAAAACAACTTGTTAGGACAGCTTGGATGATTAAAGGCTTGACAATTTAGCATTTAAGAAATCTATACATCTCACTTACTCTTTGCAAGCCTTAAATAGACTGAATTTATTACTGTCATATTACCTATCTTGTAGGTGCACTGAAAGCTACTGTAACTTTCCAGGTGTTAGAAAAGCCACAAATAACCGGACATGTGGACAAACTGGGAAACTGTCATACCCAAGAAAATAACAAATATATTTTCTATGTTGTCTGGGCAGCCAGACCTTCCTTAGTACTAAGTACTCAACTGGCAATGATCCTTGTTCAGTGCTTCCAGAATTTTTGGAATAACTGGAATTATCCCAACTGGAATTTCTGTATGCAGCTCTATCTTTTTCAAAAAAGGCAAAATAGCTGTGCAGACCAGTCCCATAAACTATTAATAGCAGTAACAAATGTCACTATGCTGTACACAAGAGGTTCTGCTGCTCTGCCCTTGCATATTTGCAGAGCACGCTCTTGACAGTCGTCAGCTGCCTCATGGCAGGAAGGAAATTACTTTGATAAGGGATAACAATTATATCCCAGTACAGAGCTAAAGAATGAAGTTTCCTCATCTGTGAATTAATACTTCATAGATAAAAACGCATGTAGATAAGGCAGCAATGTGATGCCACACAAACCTCCTTCCCCAAGGAACTTAGGAGAGATGACACTGCTGCAAAAATTTTCCTACCTTCAAACGCTAACTCTGTGGTCCACAATGTACAGTATACTGTAGTGCAGGATTTTGCAGCCTTACTAAGAAATAAATGCAAAACTTCTAGGAATTCTTGGACTTTGGAGAATAATGTGGAGAAAAAGGAGCATTAAGCAGAAGCCCAGTGATTTGAAGAAGAGCTGACACCAGCCCTGGTCTGTGGCTACGATTACACAGATGGTATAAGCTCCTCTACATGACTCAGTATTAATCCATTTGGTAGAAAGGGTTTTCTAAAAAACAAACATGTTGAATTATGATGTCAGAGATTTCACCAACAAAAAAATATTTACCTTCTTTGTAAAATAATTTGGTTTTAAGTTATGCAGTTAAATTCATCAGCAGGGCTGGCTAAAGCAAATGCTGTCCTAGTTTTACAGCAGTGATCAGCACTGTAATATCCTTTGTTATAATTTCCAAAAAGAACTTTTAAATATTTAGAAACAGCTGGGTTTTGAGCAATTGCCCCACTTTGGGCAGTATAATTCATTTTCTTAATGGTCTGAATAATCTGTGCCAGTAGCTCTGCTTCCTATTACACTTTCAATTGTTCAGCAGAGGAATTCCTATAACGACACAGGCAGCATAAAATGTTTTGTTATTTGAATCAAGTAATATACCAAGTAGCATCAATCATTCTGTATACTCTCATGAGAGACAATTTTCTTGGCAAGGTTTTCTCCAAAATTAATGAGAACGCTAATATTCTTAGATACATAAAGTATATGCACATTTGGAACTTGTTTATATTGAAACTTGTGATTTAAAATATTTTCCCCATACCACATCTTAAAGCTGATACACCCAAACAGCAGGCATTCTGTCTTCAAATCAAATAACTTATCAAGTAGCTCTATTCTATACTTTTCTGCATTTCTGCTCCTTTGGGGTTAAGTGGTTGAAACATTTCATAAGCATGTTAAGCTTCCAGTTCTGGTGCATATTAGTCAGGTTAATGCAAAGCTGAGAATCAGATCAGCTTTACAGAGTAAAGACCACACTAAAGTAACAGATAAGTTACAGCACAGCCCCTGGCATAAACAACAGCATCATCATCTAGGAGGTCACAGCACAGTTAAAGTTTATTCCCTACCTCTCCCTCCAAAAAACCCATTTTCCATATCACAGTAGCCCATAACTTCTCCAAAAAGAGATGAACATATACATCTTAATTCTGAACATGTTATCTAAAATGTTTAGAAAGCATTAGCAATGAATTATATTTCTTACACTGGAAATGGGTTGAAAGGGTATATGTAGGGTAAAAAAAAAAAGGTAGATCAAAAAATTGTGATTTTTTTTGTGGTCAATTCTTAATTTTATTGACTGGCATTGGAGATGGGAGAAAAATTCTCACTTTTTCATTGTATCTGTGGCAACAGCTACAAAAAGTCCATTAAAAAAACACTAGCCAAAGATGACCACAGTAAGTCTATTGATGAAGCAGGATTCTGTGAGAAAGTACAAGCAACAGGGTAATATCTCCCCTAGTGCCATCAAATATTTTTATCTGCAAATAGAAAGACCAAAATGGGCTATTGATTTTTTTGTGCTACTCTTGGATTTCCATTTTTTTTTGTAAAAAAAAAAAAAAAGGGAAGTAAATCAGATTCTTGATCTTTCATCTGCAGCACCACCCCCATGAACAATGAGTATCTGCTCAGGACCCTGATGGGGACAACACCTCATGACCATTGGAGAAGAAGAACAAAAGTCAAACAGTTTCTCAAGCTTGAGCTAGGTTTAAAGCACATCTGAAATATTACCATTTCAATATTTAATATGGAAACCATCATCCATTTGCATCTGAAAGTCAGCAGCCTCTTCATCAAGAGAATATCATCATGTTACTGTATATGTATGTATTGTATGTATTTATTTCAGAATAATTTTGATTCTCCTTCTACACCCATATCTTTCATTTACATTAGTAAATGATGCTTTTCCATATTGAGCCCACCTGGCTGTGCCACAGACTATCCTAGAGCCCTCAAACGCCCAAGGTAACAGGGGCTGAGGTTTGGTAACACATCACAAACAGGCAACTAATGACCCTGTTCGGTCGAAAGAATTTCTTGCCTGAAAAGCAGTTCATATGCTTGGCAGAGATCATCTCTGTATGGATTTATTTTGCAGGAGCAGCCAAAGCAGGCAGCAAACCATGCAAGTACTCAAAAAAAAGACAGCATGTGACTTCTCATGCACAGCAACAAAATATAGCCCCTATTCCAGCAACTATGCCCACCAGATGAAGATCTGAGCCAACATAAATACAAACCACAGCGTTATAAAACATTGCTCCCTACAAATGGAGCTTTTCCTTTTTTGGAGATTGTCTAGGATAGTTTTCATTAAAAAGTCTGTTTATTTCCAGCTGGCAAGCTTAGTTACATGGTTATAAATTGCAAAGTTTTACCTTTAATGTGATTAGTAAAAGCAAACATGAAAATACAGTCTATAAACCTACTTTTTCAAGAACAGCTGCTCAGCATAACTGGAAAAAAAGAGACAAGATTCAAGTGCTGACATTCCATAAATAATTAAGGCACAGAAAAAAATATCATTTGTTTAGGCAGATAGCTTTACATATTTTAAAGTCTCAAAGTCAATGCAAAGACAGTGTGTACTGAAACATGCTCTTAGAATGATGGAGAGCAGCAACTCAGAATGAATAACTTTTCTGTTTCCATTGCAAAAAACATGAACGTACTGATAATTTTCATCAAGTTAAACAGCACTAGGGAAAACAAATTTTGAAGAATAATAATATTAATAAACCAACAAAATAATAAACCCAGCAAAAATAATTTAGGAAGATAAAAAACAGTAGTGCATGCTACACCTAAAGACCACAACTGTTGCCTT